TGTAATCTGTCGAGCAAAACTCAGCATCTGAAAAATGACAGTAATGGAGGAAGAGTTTAGCAGAAAATACCTACAACAAAATATGCTTTTTGACACATTTACCCACAAAGAGGGAAATTTGCTGAAAGTGATAGGCTTCTGGGGACTACACAGAACTCTTGGGTGGGCTGGAGAATCACAGGATGCCTTTCCTTTGTTACACAGCTAGCAACAGAAGACGGGGTATAACTCCTCCCCTCATAGCCAGACTAGACTATTTAGAAGAGCAGTGATACGTCAACATATTCAAGCGGTGATTTTTGTGTCACACCTACGCATCTCGGGGAAACATTTCCTTTTCCTCATAGATTTATTTGGCTTTTCCACCTTTTACAGAAGAGTCAAGTCTCAATTAAAAGAAGATCCCCTGAGAATATATACATTCTGAAATGAGAATAATAGACATTTTCAAAGAAAGTTTTATTAGAGATATAATAAGTTAGAGGTAGTTCTGAAACCCGTGGGGCAACGGGAAAGCAACCCGGTTCTTAAATTGATGCGTAATAATTAGTTTGCATCTCTTATTCAAATAAACCTAGACTGAATGTAGGCTCAGGGAGACAGAAAAAAGTTCTAGAAAGTCTTGGGAATCATATAATTTTAGAGGAAGAAGGGACCATTGCAATTATTTAGTTTTTAAATCTCCTAATGTATAGACAATGAAACTGAAGATATGTGATTTGTTCATTGTTACATCCCTCATCAGTGGTAGAGCCAGCAAATAGCAGAGCCAGGACTTCAGTGCAGGTCTCCCACCTCTCCTATTTCCTGTGTTCATTACCTCTTGTTCAGTCTATTTTGTGATGTCCTAATTAAAGCACGTTAGGTCTTAAAGGGTGACTTTCTGAATTTCATTTTTTGGTTTCAGGCTAGGGTTAGCTTGTAAGTGCTTAAAGACACCAACCAGTTAACTGGGGATTTTATTACGTGTATGGTCCAATGCCCTTCATCATCAAAGTTATTCCAAGATACAAGGGCATAGAATAGGCAAAATAATTACCTTGAGAACTCTAATTTCATGACACATACCATTCTTATGAAACAAAAGCAGCTTGGCAGATTATCCATTTCTTCTGAGTGTTTTATTCAAAGTTGAAAATAAGTTGGGAAGGGAAAATTTCATTTTAGTAATCTTTAATTACCACAGCCATTTTTGGAGGGGACAGCAATGAAGCTAGGACAAGAACATCGGTAGACAGTCATTCTGTTGTACATAAACTCTGCTCAGTTCTCTCACAATTTGGTCTAACTTAGTAACTCTTGTTAAAATGTGGTTGCTATATCGGAATCCCTTTCCTACTAGTTTTATTTCTAATACTACTATTACCAATATCTTTAAAAATAATTTAGCCTATTATTAATTTCACGCTCACAGTCACAATACTTCTGTGAGGTAGGACAAACAGTTATTATCCCTATTTGACAATGAGAAACTTAAGGCACAGAAAAGTTAAGCAGATTTCTCAAGTTCACAGCTATTTGGCAGAAAAGTCAGGACAAAAATTCAGGTCTTTTGACTTCCTGCCAAGTTTCTTTCTCCTGGCTGTGTTTTTTTGATTTTAACATTAAAAAAGGACCTTATTTGGTTCTTTTCTTGTAAAAAGAAAGGAGTATATGACTGTTTCTTTTTTCGACGATAAGCATCATTGACTCTTTATAGCACCCCCACACAGTTCACGAACATAGCAAGTAATCAATGAATGTTTTAAGAATTAAGCACATGAGAATCCCCTTTATAGGATGGATGTTATCTGAGGTAGGACAGGGAGGCATTACATATAATTAGTTCAATTCTTTCCCCCTTCATCACGGTTTAAGAGCTTCTGGTCTAATTAGCAGATACTGGTCAGAAGGCCTGCATCGAATTTATGCTATCATCACTGAGCTTAACATATCGGCCTCAGTTTCTCCATTAAAAACACGAAGATGTAGTATTTTTATATGAGAAAAATAGTTTCCATTTTCAGAATTATATTACATTTCTTTGACGGTAATTAATGTTTCTTAAGTTTTACCATCCACCAAGCAAAGTTTTGAGCTCTTTATGTAGGTAGGTTTTTATAACCTCATAACCCATGGAGTTGGTGTTATTACTATGCTCATTGTTACACATGAGGAAACTGAAGGTTAGAAAGGTTAAGTACCTTACTTGCTCAAGATCGTGCAGCTAATAAAAGGCAGAGACAGCTGAAATCCTAGGTCTGCCTGACTTCAAAATCTAAGCTACCATCAATTCTACACTATATTTTACCTATAGCTTTACAACTCTGACACTGTTAAATTTTCCAGATGGCTAAAATCCTCCCCATTGTAGATGTTAAAGTAATCTCATGTAGTCACCCCAAATAGAGAACTATGTTCTTTCATGTCCTACTAACAAAAATTAAGTCTAAGGAAACTCCTTTTGGTAGACATTTGCTCTAGACCTGAGATTGTATCTTTATGCTATTTACTTTAAGTTGCAGTGTGTTCCCTTTTTGAAATTTTTTTTTTTTTTTTGTGAGGAAGATCAGCCCTGAGCTAACATCCATTGCCAATCCTCCTCTTTTTGCTGAGGAAGATCGGCCCTGGGCTAACATCTGTGCCCCTCTTCCTCTATGTTATACAGGACGCCGCCATGACATGGCTTGATAAGCAGTGCACGGGTCTGCGCCCAGGATCCGAACCTGCGAACCTCAAGCCACCCAAGTGGAGCCCCGGAACTTAACCGCTATGCTACTGGGCCAGTCCGGAACACCCACCTTTTAAGTTTTTAAAATAGTATTTCAATTTTTCCTTCAGTGTGTGTGCTCAGCCACCTGCATGCTTTCTCTACACTTCCCCAAAGTGGAGAAAAGGAAAAACATCTAAGATTATATTAATAGAGAGCTCCAGATTATTGGGATAATATGCCTTAATGAGCAGCCTATTGAACGGATTTGCTAATTGATTACAACTCCCACTGGAACACTACTCCAGGAAGAACGCAGGATCTGGCTTTTTGATTCTTCCTTCTATCCTGGATTCAGTTTGGTTGTTAGGATTAAGTTAACCAAATAATCAGAGAATGTTAGGCAGGAAGGAATTGAACCGATTAGTTCAGCTACCTCCTTTTCAGAGAAACAACTGAGTTGAGCACAGTGATTTACGGAAGCTCATGTATTCCTATCTGTGGTGTCCCATCAGCCAAGAGTCTACAGCAGCAATCAAGTAAACCAGACGCCCGAGAGCTGAGGAGAATTTCTGGACTGGGTTTAAGTGTGGGGAAGGAGAGGGCCTAGTGTTGAAGAGGTAAACTCGGAAGGTACATTACTTGGATCTCCCTCCTTTCTCTGCTACTTATTAGCTGTGCTCTCTTGGGCAAGTGACTTCCCTTCCCTGGGACTCCATTGCTTTGACTGAGGGTGATAGTACCTATGTCACATGGTGGTTGTGGGGATTAAGTGAGCTATTATAACTTTAAAGTATTTAAAGCAGTCTTTATTTTTTTTCCCCCAAAGCCCCGGTAGATAGTTGTATGTCATAGTTACACAGCCTTCCAGTTGCTGTATGTGGGACGGGCCTCATCGTGGCCGGAGAAGCGGTGTGTCTGTGCGCCCCCAGGATCCGAACCGGCTGCCAGCAGCGGAGCGCGCGCACTTAATCGCTAAGCCCCAGGTGCCGGCCCTAGAGCAGTCTTTTAAAGCATTAAAGCATGCGGTTAACTCGCGCTACCCATCAGTTATTTCTACCCAAAATTTCAGACTGTTAAATCCTTGAATTTTGAGCTCTCCTGATATTCTCCTCCAGCATTCCTCCTCTTCTGAAGTCTTCTAAACCAAAGTTGACATCTGCATTTTCAAGGAAGGCAAATGGTTTACTCTTATTAAGTGTGGGCAAACACACTAGACATACACATAACAAACCCCCAGATACTGAAGGTACATGGAAACAGCACACAACTGCAGAGTCTGGGGGAGAATGCGATCCAGGGGTGACGAGATGCTTGGAAACAGCGCTCCTTCCTGAGAAAGGCGGACCCCTCGATGCCAGGCGGTCGCCCACCGGAGAGGCTAACGTCACACATGGCAGGTACAAGTGACAACTGTCCCCGTCCCCGGGGTCCCCCCCCAACCTCCCCGCGCCGTCGAACCGGACCAGAGTCTCTCGTCCCGGAAGGCCCGGGCGGGCTTGACGGTGACTGAAAGGCACACACATCTGAAATTGCCCTCAAGTTTGGGCTTTTTCACAGCAATCCTCAAGACAAAGGGACTTCTTATCTATGGCACTTTTTTGGTTTGTTGCCCTCCTCCTCCTAGCCCCTCGCTTTGTCGCCAACTTCCTCCAGCGCTGGCTCGACGGCGTCCCTCACGTCGCCCCTTTGTCTGGCGGCCACCCTATTCCGCTTTACTGTCCACCGTCCCTCCTAGAGAAGGGTGGGCTGGCCGCCAACCTTCGGGGAGGAGGAAAAAAGGGGTGAGAAGGCGCCCGCACCGGACACCACGGCTCGCGAACCGCCCTCCCGCCGGAGCCCGGACTCCCCTCGGCCCCTCCGCCGGGGCTTGGGATGGGGGCGGGGCTCGGCGCTGCCGGCGCCCTCTGATTGGCTGTGGGCGTCTGGGCGCCGCGCCGTGATTGGGCCG